GACTTCCTTATCAGGCAAAGTTGGCTAGTGTAATCAATGGGAGTTTTTGGCAATGGCCTCCTGCTAGGTCTCCCCAATTGGTACAAATACAAATGCATCTCTTTGATATCTATCCTCAAGAAGGAGAAAAGGATATTGTAGTTTGGGTGCCTTCTACATCTGGTAGCTTCAAGATCGAACAAACTTGGCATTGGTTGCGAAGGAGACAAGACAGGAAAATATGGCATCGATTGGTTTGGTTTTCCCAAGCTATTCCTAAACATAGCTTCATTAGTTGGCTAGTTGTGCTTAATCGACTAAGCACAAGGGCAAGGCAGAAGCAATGGACCCCCACAATTTTTGATACATGCATCCTTTGCAATGGCAGTCCAGAAACAAATGAGCACCTCTTTTTTAAGTGTAGCTACACAAGACGAATATGGCAACAGCTTAGCTCTATGCTTGGTATCTCGTTTGCTGACTCTTGGCAAGTTTTATTACAATGGATGGGTAAAAAACTTAGAAGGAAGTCTTTACACAATTTGCTAATCAAATTAGCTTGGAATGCAGCAATCTACCACACATGGTTGGAAAGAAACAGAAGGTTTCACCAACAGCTTTTTAAAGTAGAGAGCATGATTGTTCAAGACATTCAATTTGAGGTAAGGAGTAAGATTTTGGATTTTTCTCGACCAAACTCTTCTCTCCTACCCATGGGGATTGCATGCAAATGGGGTCTTGAGACAATTGTGAAACATTAACCTTTGTATTGTTTGTACAGTTTTAATCATTCCTTTTGACAGTTTCTTTTGCTTTGTAGCAGCATATTAGCTGTTTTATTGTACAAACAGTTATATTGGATAATAAGATTTACATTTTATCCAAAAAAAAAAAAAAGAATATTAAAGAGTTTATTCTCTTCCATGCAAAAAATGAAATGTCAGGCCAAACTTCTTGCTTCCACTTTCTCCATCCCTACTAAAGAAATTGGTTTTTCTCTAGTTAAAAGTTCAACAAGGACAAATCCAAAACTGTAAACATCACTGTTTTCTATAATTTGACTTGACTGGAAATATTCATGGTCCAAGTACCCAAATGTGCCCTTTACATTTGTGGTCAAATGAGTTTTATCAATGGCAATTGATCTTGATGTCCCAAAGTCTGAAACTATTACCATGTACTTTTCATCTAGTAGAATATTTGAGGACTTGACATCTCTATAATAATTGGAAATGAAGGCTGCTGAGTGCAAGTAGGAAAGTGCACCTGCAACTTCTGCTGCAATTGTTAACCTTCTTTCCCAGGTTAATGGGAAGTCCTCATTGTAATCATGTATGTACTGGAAAAGTATCCCATTGGAGATGAATTCATAAACAAGCACAAGAACTTTAGTTTCCAAACAATAGTCTAATAACTTAACAATATCTCTGTGATTAATTTGTCTAAGAATAACCACCTCATTGATGAACTCTTTAACTTTCTCTTTATGCAGTATTTTGGACTTCTTAACTGCAACAATTCTTCCACCAACCAGCATTCCTTTATAAACAATGCCCTAGCCTCCTTGACCAAGTATTCTATTCCTATTGAAATTGTTAGTCGCTCTCTCCAACTCTTGGGTACTAAATATTTTGGTCTTTTCAATATTACCCTCTGTTAAAGATAGTTGTTGCTTCTATAATTAATCTCCATTTTGTTTGAAGAGCTGCTTTTGAAGCTTCTTTTTCTTTCTCTTCTTTAAGATTTCGTACAACCACCATGTACCAATAGGTAAACACACTTCTCCTAACCCTAGGCTAATACCTGCAGATATCAAGAAAGAAGAAACAGATGACTTTAGCAAGAGAAACGGATGTATATCAACACTTGATTTATATAAAAGTCTCATTTCATGGTTAGACTATTTAAATTTCAAAATGAAATCAATAAAAGTCCACAGGATTGCGCATGGTCTTTAAGAAAGATCTTTAGGTGAAAAAGATAATGAGAGATGGAGTTAGTATTGAAGCTGGGGATGGTAGATAGACAAACAAACCGCCCTTTGTTATGACTGTTGGCTACCAGAAGACAGAATTTGTGAAAGGCTACAAAAAATAGCTGAGTTCACCGTGGGCAGCATGAAACAAAATTTCTCAGTGGAGACAATCTGGATGGCAGATACCAACTAGATATTCGGGTATGGTGGCTGAGATGAAAGGCTTGACTTTGTCTAAGGGAGCAGATAATGTTTTCTTGCACTCAAGATTGATGCGCAGATAATGTTTTCTTGCACTCAAGAGGCCTATCAATCAATTAAAGTTGTCAATTGTCAATTGATGAGATTCCAGGTTTATAGAGTTCCTTGGTTTAGATAGGTGTGGCACCGTGGCATTCTCGTGGGATTCCTAGACATCTGTTTATCCTATAGATGCTAGTGACAAGCTCTGTTGAAGACATAGGTACTGAACTGCAGGGGTATGCGTTTGAGTTTAAATTGTTTTTGAGTTTAAAAATGATTTATATTCTAAAATGATAAATAAAAGTCCAAAAATATGGATCTTACCCAAAATTATAGGCAAGGCTACTTTGCCTTTGGGTTTGCAAGCCTAGTCCCCTATCTTATTTACACAAATTGAGTCCCAACCACAGTTAGAAATGTGCCTGGGTTCATTGCATTTGTCAATTTCTATGGCAAAAATAATAATAATAATAAATAAAATCTGCAAGACAATACTAACAAAAATATATATATATATATCATAGGCATAATAAAAAAATTCCAATTGGTACACCTGCCAGCCTTGGTTTACCTTGACATCCATAAGGTAGGGAGGGAAGAAGTATTATAAAAGAAGGAAGAATTAGCAATAGTACCATTAAACTGGGAACAATTAAATGCATGATCATATCTATATGGTAATTGTGATGCATCCTCATCAGTAATCACCCAGTCTAACAGAGGTGGAACATATCCCTCAGGGAGCAACAACATTCTCCTTTTGTAGGACATGAGAGGACTTACCGAGAAATCCAAAAAATTCAAACTTACAGAACACTGCTGGGAGATGATTGGTATTTTGACATTAACTATACTGTGATCAAGAGAGAAATACGGCACCTCAGTGTCTATGCTGGTTAGTAAATTTGTAGGGAGGTTGGAAGTTTCGCTGCAGGAGACCTCGAACTCTTTGTGCATGTAGCAATATGCTCTGATTCCAAAGGGGTATGGAATGCTGACATTCCCACAATGCTCTTTACAACCAGGCTTCACCAGAGCCTGGCCTACTGCTGATTCAATCATTAGCAATTGTAGGAAAGCAAAGACAGATGTTCTTGTGATGATCATCATTTTTTTGTTCCTCAGATGCTTATTAGATTTGAGATTTAGGAAACATTGTGTAAATGGAACTTTATATGGTAAAGATGAAGAAATGCATGTAGGATGCATGTTCTGGGACTAACTGCCCAAACATTGAAGTCCAAACTCCAAAGGAAGAAAGACTCAATTGGCCGGATTCCCTAAATATAATATGATGCCTTACTAGAAAATTTTAATCCACTGGAAAATTCATTTTTCATTTAGAGGATGGTTGGTCGCCACTTCGAAATATTCTAAGCTTTTAGTTTGACATAAAAATTCTAATGCTTAGATATCATTAACTCATTCACCTGTTGACCAATTAACTAATACTCCTTTTAGTCTGATTTAGTTGTCTCACTTACTAAATAGACTTGGTCTAATTAGTCCTCTCACTTATTGAAGAGAGGCAGTCAAATTTAGTTATCTCACTTTCTATTTTAAAAAGACCTTTTTTTTAATGAGGTTTTAAAAAGACTCTAAATACTAGTATTTCAATTATCATTATCTGAGATGAAATAAAAATGCATTTGAGTCTTTCGGTTTAATTGTGAGTAAGGATGAAAATGGAAAAATGTAGACTAAATTATGTCATATTGGTTATCCATATTATGCACAGCGGAAATTAGGCCTCTTCTTGTCTTATGATACTTGTTTTGTCTTCTGAGTTTGCAGATAGAAGAAAACTACTTTGAAAGGCTATTTCAAGGGAATAACTATCTACTTTGACTCTTCTGCACGTAGGTAAGTCTTATTACCTGGTTTTTCAATGCTATAATTACCGAGTCATCTTAGAATTTGTTTTTTTAGATATACAGGAATTAAGGGCATTTCATGCTAGTTTGATGATTGTTTTGTTAATGCTGAAGGTGTGAATAATTATATTTTCCTTTCAAATTTCTCCTCATACTTCATAAGGTAAACCAAGCAAGGAAAATATACTCAATGCTTTTTTTCTTAACAGCAAAATCTCCTCGTACTATTATTTGTCTGAGAAGTGAAACTTTCGGGATAATTGAGTTGGAATTAGGAAATGACTTTGTGCTAGCATTTTGAGGAATACGATTAAATAACTCATGCATACACATATTAATATGCACATAGCACCAAATCTAAAAGTTGACTTAATTTAATCTTGGCGAGTTTTTGTGAGACAAAGAATTTAAAATTGGAAAGGAAATGGTCTTAGCTGTCATCATGATATCAAATTATTGTAACCGAGCAGTGCATAAACTTTATTTGAACTTTAAACTACAAAGCAACAAAAATAAAAATTAGATGAACTACAAATTTTCAAACACTAAAGAAAGAAAGAGCTGACGATGTTCCTCAACATGGAATAAATTCATTCTAGGATAAATCAGTTAAATCCCTGTGATTTATTGGAAATTAATGGCTGCATGTCTTTGAACAAAGAAGCTCCTGATTAAACTTTTCCAATGGTTTTGTTGTCATTAAAATCATCAAAGGAATTCACAGCTCCAGAGTCCAAACCTGAACCTATTGATGTCGAGGTACCATCCCAGAGATTGGTTACTTTACTTTTGACATATGTAACCTCTTCATGATTCTGTTGACCATTTGAATTGTTTTGCAAAAGATGAATTTGCTCTAACTCCATAGCAACTTCTATCATCTTTGGCCGCATTTTACCATTCAAGTTCAAGCATCGATGTGCAAGTTTAGCGACCTTTGTTATCTCTTCACATGCAGAACTCTCCCTAACTCGAGCATCAAGAATACTCAAGAGACTATTATCTTCCATGGAATGAATGAAATGAGAGGCCAAACTTCTTCCTCCTTCTGCCCTTGCTAAAGAAATTGGTTTTTCTCCTGTTAAGAGCTCAACAAGGACAACTCCAAAACTATAAACATCACTCTTTTCTGTAAATTGACTAGATTGGTAATATTCAGGGTCCAGGTACCCAAATGTGCCCTGAACATTTGTAGTCAAATGAGTTTGATCGATGGCAATTGGTCTTGATGTTCCAAAGTCTGAAACTTTTGCCTTGTACTTTTCATCTAGTAGAATATTTGAGGACTTGACATCTCTATGATAAATTGGAATGGAGGCTGCTGAGTGCAAGTAGGAAAGGGCAGCAGCAACTTCTGCTGCAATTGTTAACCGTCTTTCCCAAGTTAATGGGAAGTCTTCATTTTCATCATGTATATACTGGAAAAGTGTTCCGTTAGGGATGAATTCATAAACTAGCAAAGGAGCTTCATTCTCCAAACAACAGCCTAATAACTTAACAATGTTTCTGTGATTAATTTGTGTAAGAATGACCACCTCATTGATGAACTCTTTAACTTTCTCTTGATCCAGTGCTTTGGACTTCTTAACTGCAACAATTCTTCCATCAGTCAACATTCCTTTATAAACAGTACCCTGACCTCCTTGACCAAGTATTCTATTCTTGTTGAAATGGTCAGTTGCCCACTCCAACTCCTTGGTGCTGAATATTTTGGTCCTTTCAATATTACCCTCAGTTGAAGAAAGTTGTTGCTGCAATAATAATTTGAAGAACTGCCTCTGGAGGTTCTTTTCCCTTCTCTTCTTTAAAATTTCGTACAACCAGTATGCACCAATAAGAAAGCACACTACTCCAAGCCCTAGGCTAATGCCTGCAGAGATTAAGAAAGGAGAAACGGATGACTTTAGTGGGAGGTACACATGTATATCAAAACTTGATTGTATAAAAGTCCAGTTTCATGCTTAGTTAGAAAATTTGAAATGAAATGAAATAAAATAAATAAAAGTCCACGGGATTGTGCATGGTCTTTAAGAAAGATCTTTAGGTGAATAGGTGACAAAGATGATAAGAGATGGTGTTAGTAATTAGTATTGAAGTTGGGGATGGTAGACAAACCTCCCTTTGTTGTGAGTGTTGGCTACCAGGAGACTGACTTTGTGATAGGCTACAAAATATGGCTGAGATCACTAACTGCGGGGCATGAAACAAAATTTCCCAGTGGGGGCAATTTGGATGGCAGATGCCAACTAGTTTTGAAAGGAGATATTCTGGTGTAGTGGCTGAGATCAAAAGGCTTGACTTTGTCTGAGGGAGCGAATAAATTTT